AATTCGATGCGGGGACTTCGAATCTCAGGTCTGTTGGGTGACCATGGCTAATGACGGGTGGGTGAAGAGAGGTCTGGGTGGAAAAGTCAAAAAAACATCGAAAACTGATTTTTCACGGTTTCCATTTGTTTTTCCGGTAAATGTGAAGAAAATGCATTTCTACGAGAAAGAGCTAAGCGAGTCCTCGGAGGCGCGTTACTTGTAGATTTTTTCTTTAAATAAATATCCAACTAATAGACAAACAACAGGCTGTTGCAGATGTTATCGGACTATTTTTCCCTTGACAATAATCTAATATATTATGAGGTGAATTATTTACAAATCATTCATAGTTCTTTTAAATAAGTTTTAAAAACAACGAAGTATGTAATGTGAATGACTTACATATAGGTCCAGTACAACTAAGTCCTACCAAAGAAACAATTACTAATAAAATTAAATATTGAGATGCCATTTGATTTTTAGAAGTATTTTTTTATGTGTAATAGATGTGGTGAACGTTTATTTAACCGAATGAATGAATTAACAATGAACAACTATATTTATCATCAACGAGATCAAACGGCTGAGAAAGAAAGCGAGAGCATAGAAATAGAAAGGTTAAATGATAGGAAGTGACCGATGGATATGCGCATGTACAGCGGTCATGTTCGGTCAAGAATATGTAAGAGGTAGTGATGCATGCAACCCGTCACATCAAATTCGTAATTGAATAATTCATCAAGAAAGGAAGTTTTCGTCACATACTATTAGTCATAGCATTTTTTTTTCTGATTGATTGAGGATGTTCCTCGAAAATGAATACACATTGTTAAGGATGAAATAAGTTATTACAAAATTTCCCTATTTCTTTAAACGATCCATGAAATCGTTAAGTCATTATAAACAAAGCAAATATTTAACAAACAAATAACGATAAAGATTTTATAAGACTCAAAAAATTCAATTTGATATTGTGATTAATATTTACGTTTTAAAACATCAAAAATCATGTAATAATATTGATTGATAGAGAGGCTAAATTTTCCCTATCACTATACTTGTACTGGCATTCTCGAAAATCTTGTTAATTATAGATTAAAATTTTTCATATTTGATCATTCAAAGTTTCAAAAACAATAAATTGTTGGTATAATCTCTATGGAATTAAAATATCGAATACAACGAAGTTATATGGTCGTAAAAAGCACTTGTTCATAAATCTCTTTATTAAAAAATGTTATTTCTATGCTATCTGTGGGAGTATATCGGTCATAATCTATAGGATTATTTTCCTATTCCTATATATACATACCTCAATATTCCTCTAACATCATAGACTCTGCTTTTGTAACCACCCCATGCTCACCCTTATGTTGCGGTGTCTAGTTATAGATTTGTATTTGAACTAACTAAACAATTCTTGGATTAGGATGACTGTTTGTCAAATCAAAGTTTATGAAGAATAAAAATTCGATGGTAAACCTTTCGCTACTTTTTACATTCTTCCAACTGACTATCGTCATTTTATCCTGTGGCATTTTAAGTTTCGTGATTTTTATTTTTAATGCATTTTATCGGTAAAAAGTCATTGTTGCTTTTGATTTTCTACCAGTAAGATTTTATTTACTCTTTTTTTTGCTTTTTATTTCAATTAGAAAAAATATGTTGGTAATTCTTTCTCATAACGAAATGATAGACGAACGACGATTTCAAACTGTTCTTTCCAACTATATTAAATCAAAAGGGAATTTTTTCTGTCAAGAATTTAACGATAAATTATCAATAGTTACATGACTTCTCAATCACTGTCTAGACAAAACTTGGCGAGAGTATAAAAGTGTACTATTTTCAGTAGTTAGACACGTATAATATTTCATAGCTTCGAATACAAAAATTCAACAAATAATGCTCATTCTATTGAGTAAGTTTTGATATATTACGCTTCAATGAATATCATAAATACATATGTTCATTTTATTCATCCAGGTTTTATCTTATTGATTTCAGTCAATACAGTTGATAGTTTTACTGTATTAGACTTGTCGATGGACAGGAACGATTTAATGGAAAATTCAACAAATCCTCCGTCAATAAATAAGCAGACGGATTCATATACATTCTCTCAGAACAGTTCGATAATTATACAAAATACTAGTAATGAAACATTTTTCAAAACGACAACAACAACAATTAGGAATGAAATTTCAGAAGGTCTATCCAGAGCACAACAAGTCAAAATAGAGACTCCTTCTACTACATACGATTCAAGTTCAAGTTCCAGTTCAGGACTATCGGCTGGAGCTATTGCTGCAATAGTTATTAGTGTCGTATTTTTTGTTTGTTGCTCCTGTATATGCGCAGCTTGCAAGAAATCTGGTTATTTGAAAAACTGGCGGAAATGAGGCTAAATTTTTCATTATATTTATTCCGGATTTTACACTACATGGTTTTTGAAAAAAAAAACAATTGATTTTAAGCATTTTATTCCTGAAAATATACAAATAATATTATTATACTTTTCTTTTTTTGTTGCCAAGTGTGTTCTTATATATCTTTATTCTCAATAAACTAGCATAACTTCATATTCACCTATTTTATATGAT